TGAGAGAGTTGGTGTTGCTCAGCCTGGAAAAGACCTGGGGAGACCTCATTGTGTCCTTTCAGTACTTAAAGGAGGCCTATAAGAAAGACGGGGATAGACTTCTTGGTAGAACAAGAGGTAATGGTCTTAAACTAAAAGAGCATAAATTCAGAGTAAATGGAAGAAATTTTTAAGATAAGGGTGGTTTAACACTGGAACAGGTTACCCAGAGGTGTGATGGTTGCTTGGAAACATTTAAAGTCAGGTTGGACAGGGCTCTGAGATACTTGATGTAGTTGAAAACGTCCCTGCTAATGGTGGGCATGTTTGACTCCTCATCACACAATTCTGGGGCAAGAATGGCAATGGCTTATGGGGGAAGAGGTACTGTGGGATAGATTAGGTTTTTGTAGTTGCTGTTTGAACTGCTTTCATGGTATCAGTCTCTTATTTTGTGGGGGATCTAACATCATGTGGCCAGCTGGTTTTGTCAATTCAAAAGGTCAGTTTTGAAGTCTGTTAGACCATCAAGCCTGCAGTTTCTCATAAAGGAGACTGTACAGGGAATGGAAGAGTTGTCAAGTGCCTGGCTTGCTAGGAAGTAAAAAAAGAAACCCAACCAGTGTTAGAAGCTCAGCTCCGTTGCTACTGAGATAGGGAGTGAAAAAGAAATCTCAGTAATTCCTGGCTGTGAGCAGTGCTGCCAAGAGGGAGCAGTGGTAGTAACTCATCTCTGTGGGCCAAGAGTGAGTGGAACTGAGGGGATGAGTGGGACTCTTACAGCTGTTCTTGCACATTTGCCTTTAGCTTAAAGTCTCAAAAACACCCTGTTCTGTCTTCCCCTAGAAATTTGCAGAGGAGTGACCATCCTGCATTGCTCTTTAGGAATGCTTTTCTCTTGGCATCTTGCTATGACTTTCAAGGAATAATAGATACTTTCCAAGGAAGATTTGAAGAATGTGGTAATGGGTGGGAGAAAAATGTTCACCTAGCAAGGGCAAAAAAAGCAGGGGAAGGTAGATGGGGAAACAGTGCTGATTTGCAGCCGATGTTTGAGCTATGATGGAGTTTCAGTGAACCACACCACAAGGGCTGCTGACTCATAAAAAGGTGGAATACCCAGAAGGAAAGCAATGATCCCAGCAATTGCATCCCATTATGGTATGTCAGACATCTCTTTGATTGCACAAGCCTATAATTAGTTAGAGTTGTGCTATTTCTGAAGAACTAAGAAGAAACAAAAGAATTACCCCCTGTCTTAATGACTAGCAGGATTAGTGGGCAATGCTCAAGGATTGCTTTAAATAAAGTGCATTTGCTGCTGATAGATTTCTTTTTATCCATTTCAGAGTAAAGGTCAATGATTCAGTAAAATTTAACAAATCTTAAGAGACCCTGAAGCAAAGATCTGAAAGTCTTGGAAGTAATTTTAAGGCTTGGTTCCTATTTACTCAGCATGTAAGAAGTATACTTACATATCTTAAGTATTTTTTTTTAAATTATTTTGAAAATCAAGACCTCTTTACTTTGTGGTAAGAAAGAACAGCTCATAAACGAAACTCGCAGCAATAGCTGTGTTACTTACTTGCTAACACTAGATGGGGTGTAAGGAAAGAGTGAAGGGGAAAATCAGGGAACAGCAAAACCTTGGCGGTCCGAAGTACCTCAGGCACAGAAGAAAGATTTAAATAATCTGAGCATGGCTTTCTCCACCTTGTCAAAAGCCAAACCTGATCATAAATAGACAGTGACATGTTTTCCCACCCTGTCCATTCCTCCGGCAGCGTAGGTCCTCACAACGTGGATATTTTATGTGTAACACACCACTATTAGTCACATTAACTACATTTTATTCATCTATTGAAAGAGTACATACACATGTAAGTAGCATAGATTGCATTAGCTCCTCTTTACTAAAAAAAGCTCAATGTATATACAACCTTAAAATGCTGCTGCTGTAGCTAGTGCATATTTAATCAATGCTTATATAAACTAATAATCTTTACATAGATTTATTTATTTTAGAATACATTAAAAATTATCAGTGGCATGTTCTGTTATCCTTTTTAACTCACTGATGTTCTAACATTTCCATGAATTATGGATATGCATATTTTATTTACTATTGAAAACAATTTCTATTACAGAATATAGGCAATGGAGACAAACCCATGGTAGCATTTGGAAAGGCAGAAAGTATTTTCAATTATTAGCGATTTTTGTTTTTATGCCTGCATCCTGCAGCTTTTCCTTTGGAGCAGGAAGAGCACAACAAGGCTCTTTTTGAGATCTTGCCTTTGTTTAATCCTGTGAAAAGTACCATAACCTTTTCTTAATTCAACTGGTGCTTTTTGTCCTCTCTCTTAGCTGCTTTAACTTCCTGTGCATGAACTCAGCAGAACAGGGAGGCCAGTGTCTGACTGCAGGCTCTTCCTGAAGCTGGGAGGGATGCTGAGGTGGGCTTTCTGACCAACCAACACAGCTACTCAGCAGAAGTGGCAGCCTGCCTGCAGAATTCATTTCCCCCACTCTCTTCTGGTCCCATGTGAATGAACTAGACTCCTGTGCATCACTTTATCCTCTTTATTAAGCCTGTCTCTGCAGAGACCATTTTAATTTAATCCAACTTGATAGCCAAGTCTCAAAATCCCCTTGGCTCTTGAGACAGTACAATCTCCTGGTATTCGATACACAAGCCTTTTTCCAGCATCCTCTTGCTTCCCTTCAAGGATCCAATTTCTCTAAACTAGCTTTTCACTCTGACTGATGCCCCTTCCTGAGTAACTCATAGTTGAGCCCTGAAAGAAAGTGCTGGTGCACTGAGAAATGCCACCCTGATCAGAATATCTAACTCCAGTGAAACTTGAATGCTTGACAGAAAAGCAATACAAAATGCTTTCCCACAACATAGGCTAAATACATTTTGCTTGCCAGCCATATCCACTTTAAAAAGTAAACTGGTAACACAGTAAGAAGTTGCATTTACTGGCAGACATTAATTTCTTTGTTTTGTCAGATTTGTTAGCTTAATCCTGGGAGAGGTATTGCTAAACCCTGCTGCAGAGCCTTGGTTTGCATCTACTGGTCTTGACGAAACCACTGGGAATGACACTGCACTGGGATTCGGAGGGCAGTGCTCAATATTTCAGAGGGTGGGATGGGCCAGTGTAGTTAAAAACAAAACCAGGTCAAACAACTCTGTAGGAAAAAAGACCCCTAACACATAATTGAAAGTCAGAATGAATTATGTCTCTGATAGGCCAGTAATAACTGCATTTCATAGCAGAGTGGCAAAAGTTGGGGAAGACTGTGATATGCCAGGTCAGTGATAGGTTATGACTCCTCACAGGAGTCATTATACATAATCCTCTTGTGCAGCACACTTCACACCCTGGATATCAGAAAGCCTGTGAGAACATCTCTGTTTGTGATCACACGTCCAGGGGAAAAATGTGAAACTCACTCAGCAGAAGGATGGTGAGATAGACCTAAGTATGAAGGAATAAAGGACAGTTTCCTTTGCTCCTCCTGCTTTATGCAAAACCTCCCTATTATCCAAAGCAGCAGTGCAGCAGCAGGACATGATACAGCAACCTAGTAGACTAAGCAGTATGGAAACTTAAAGAAATATGTTGTGTAAGTGAACAAACAAGAGCTCTGATACACAATTTTGTTGGGTAAGGGTGACAAAGAGCCTTTCCAGGAAAACAGTTCCTTGCTGTTATCCTGAGAGAGGCTGTGTGTGCCAGGATTGCCCTATTTAGGGTGATGGAATGCCTTGGTCTGTAACCACCCAAAGCACCAATGAAACATGGTGTCCACATCCTCCTTTTTGACCTTCAATGGATTGGCAACCTGGCAACAGCCTGGACTCACCCAGTGGAAATCCTTCTTGGAGGATTAGTTCTAGCCTGAAACAGCTCCAACAGCTTGGTTTCAGATGACTTGGTGACACTGAAGTCACAGTTAGACTTTAGCCAGAAGGAGGATTTTCGAAATACAACTTTCATGTCCTGAACCTGAATTTATTGCTGATGAGCTGTGCTGGGGGGGAAACGCTGGACAATAAATCACCTCACTGAATACAGAGAAGCTACAAGGAGTGCATCAATGCTGATATGTGTTTCAGGCAAAACTTAAGCTCTGTCCTCTGGAATGAGAGTTCACCACAGAATAACATATTAAACACCCAGAGTATACTGGGAATCATCAAGAAAACTATGAATTAGGGCAAAATGGAATAGATGTCTGGAATGCCTATTAAAACAGAGGGTGGGTGGGATTTGTAGTTGATTTTTTCATGGCATCATGCAGACTTCAGGTATTTTCTGTCTACGTTAACTTGTTAAGATCTCCCAGTCCTGAAGAGACACGCTCTTCCTGGCTACCCATTTACTGTGGGCTGGACTACTTGTTATGCGCAATTTGTTGCTGGAAAAAAGTGAATAATGGAAGAAAAATGCAAATAGATTTTGACTCTCCCTTCAGTCTGCAATGAATTATAATGATGTCTCGGATTTATTGTGAGCCAGAAAGAAAGATCTTGAAGAGAGAGCTCAGTGTATTCTGGAATGTTTCTGTTTGCTTTTACAATTCATCAGCAACCATGAAGAACTGACTCTAATATTAAAACTTACACTACTAAAATGTTAATTTATGAGTCAAGATAATTTTTTTTGCTTTGTTTGGCTCACTCTTCATTTTCTTTATGTGATGTTCAGCTCAAGGTAGTTTTCTGGATAAAATTTAGATCATTCTCTTAGATGTCAACATTAATTCTAATGCGCTGTACTCCCCTTTGAATGACTGCAGATTGCAAAGTGTCTTTGAAAAAGGATAAAATGGACATGTCATGCAGTAACCAAGTAAATGCAGTCCCTGATTAATATGCAAGTCTGAAAAGTTCAGAAAATGTTATCATACTCCATAGGTGCACCCTGTTTTTGGAAAGGTCTCTTTTTGTTTTGTTTGTGTATAAATGTCATTCTACATAAATTTCACTCCAGCAGCTTTTCATAAACTCAAGTCAATGGTGATATGTTCAAATATTTGAGTGTTTCCTTTAAAGCTAGATGCGAAGAAAAAATCTCTTCGATCTGTTGACACAGCTGTGAAAGACCGTGGTGCTTGCACATAGATTTCTTTAAATAATCTGAATATCTTCTTTTCACCATCCCACTGGTAAATCTGGGAGAAGGTATAGTCACTTCCCAAGGCTAGGTAATAATTGTTCTTGAAGGAGAAAGGCTGCAGCGTCATGGCTCCTCGGGATGGAAGAGCCTGTATCTCCATAAACTGTTTGCTATTCCATTTCATGACTCTGGAGTCACCAATGAACCTCGTGAGTGTGATGTAAAGGTCATCTTGCATCCTGAAACTCTTCACAGCCAAGACATCTTCCATGTTGGGGATTTCACTGTGTGGGACAAACTTTTTGGAGGCTTTGTTCCACTGGAGTATAATGGGCACCTGGGAACGGCTAGAGAGGATTAAATGTGATTTCCCATCTATATCGAGAAACTCAGCATCAGTGTCCCTGAACCACTCGTGAAGAGACTGATACGAATAAAATCCTTTGTTATTCCACTTATACACCGTTGACAAACCTGCTTTAGAGCTATCTGCTATGACAAAAAACATTTCACTGTCAATCTCAAAAAGCTCTATATCATTTGGCTTGGAAATGCGAGATACTTCAATATCCTGGAATTTGACAAACTTCGTCCAGCTTTCATCAAACTTGTATATGTGTGAGCCACCAAAGAGCTGTGCCACCACCACAAAGACTTGGTCACCAACAAGAATGGCTTTACATCCCACTATAGACTGACCTATTGCCCAAAGAGAGAAAACAAAAAACACATGTATTAGCACAGCGCAAACCACCCTTTGCACCATAGACATTATCAAATCACCCCTCCTCTTTTTTTAAACCTGCACCATCTCATAATTTTGTCTGCTACATGCCATCAGAGCATCTTTTCAAGCCTTTTGTTTCCCAATAACTGGAGAGATGACTTGTCCCACCCTGCAATGTGTGCATGTATGATGTACCATAAAATGCTAATTCCTTTTTAAGCAAAATACTTTTAATTTCTGTTTGTTCAAACACATGGTCCCTAGTATCCAAAAGAATTATTTAAGCTAAATTTTATTATTTAGAAGTGACAAGAGTTTTTATCTTGCCGTTCGTCGCATATCTGAGATTCTCTTATTCTTGTAATATCTATCTTTCCATCTTCACTAGAAAAATGAAATATAGTATATTTTTCTTGCTCTAGAGGGGTTAGAGTCAGCTTTTTTCTACTGTGCATAGAAATATTGATGTATCTTTTGGATATATCACCTGACAACAGGATGAAAAAGAGAAATCTAACTCTGTTGTTTGTGTTAGGTATTGAGATTTTGTTAAACTAGAAATATTTCGGAATATTGCAGTTGCCAGATAGATCAGATCAGGTTATGATCTGTTTTGAGAATGTCAAGTTCCACTAAACAAGAACCACATCAAAAAAGTAACAACAAGACTATTATGATAGGTGTTGTTGGAAGCAGAGAGGAGTTCCTTTATGAAGCCCACAGTTTCAGTAGAACTGCAGCTGCAAAAGCTCCCCAATGCATCCTTGGCCAGTCACTACAGGAGGTTTACCCTGACTTCTCTGCTGGTCCTTTACCCATGGCTTTCAGAGCTGGCCTGGGGTGATCTGCCACCCTCCCAGTGTGGGAGAGCTGGGAGTACCTTCATCTCAAGTACAGCAAGGTATCTACAGCACAGGCATGAATGGTCAAGCTGATCATGCAGGCTTCTTCTGATCTAACTTAGTCAAAACACAAACTCTTCTAGAAGAGTTTTCACCTGTCTCCTTCTGCAGAGGACAGCAATGCTTTTCTCTTCATGTTCACTGTAAAGGCAACCTTGACAACTAGCTCAGCTCCATAAGCCTATGTTGTAAAGGGCTAAATTTAGATATCCAAATGCCAAGCAAATGGTAAGTAGTGAAATTCTCTGTGGAGCTGGCCCCAGAGCTCTACAAAACACACTTCAGGCTCTGCAGGAGGCTCTTTATGTGCCTGTGTCCCCTAGCAAAAATCTCAGGTTCACGAACATTTCAGAGTCCAGAGCTCCAGCTCAGACCTCCCAGGAAAAAACTCTGAGTGTGGAGCTAGGACATAAGACCCTGGCAGAAATGTCTCCTGATCAAGTCATTCAGAGGAAGGTGAAATACACCTGGAAGGCAGCTAGCTATCTTTGCAAATGAGTCAAACTCTCCATTTCATTTCTGGAGCTTTTCTGAGGCTCTGCTAGCTCTCTCTGGGCTGTTGACTTCTCAGTTTACATCCCTGGTCCATATTCTACCCTAATCTGCCAAAAAACAATGAAACCTTAAAAAGCAAAATTTTTCATTTCCAAAATTTCCTGACAGAGGGGTAGCTTCTTGTAAACTTTTGTTTCTGAGACACACAGCTGATCTCAGGGGTAAGTGCTTGCTGCCTTTGTAGAAGCCAACACCAGAGGAGGACACAGTGTACTCTATGTCTCCCAAAATATAAGGTAAAAAATAATCAGTCACAGACAACAAGGAACAGGAGGTAAAGATGCTCCACGGATAATTTAGCTCCTGAGTCTTCAAAACATCTGGCTTGGAGTATCTGGGAAATCAGGCAGCAGATAACAGCTTTGAAGACTCCGTCTCTGCTGTCATGGTGTGACTGAGCACCACAAGTGTTGGTTAGGGACGGACTGGTTGTTAGAAAATCAGCATTAGAACATCACCTGGCATCCACACAGGCTTTTTGTTTGATCAGTAATCTGGTCAAGATGTTAATTGAGCATGTTTGTAAATTGAAAGTAAATGCTGAAGCTTTGCAGCACATCTCTTTAGGTAACAATCACAGCTTAAATATTTCTGTCCGTTTTTAACTGGCTTCCTGGTCAGCTCACCCTAAAAGGATCCTTCAGACCCGTTTCCTCCTACATGCAATAGATTATTTTTATATTCTGTTTATACTTGCAGGCACTTTGGCAAGATCAAGTGCTTCTTCAGCTTCTGCTTTAACTTGCTGTGTGACTAAGGCAGTGAGTGCCATGCTGGGCCATAGTGTGACATTCACAGCAAGTGTTTGTGCCTTCAGAAAAATTTACAAGGTTGGACAAAAATGCCTAGTTTGTGTGCTACAGTTAAATGTGCATGTGTCAACAAGATGCCTTACTCCATGGAGTCAGTCATGTCCAAATATCACTCACTTCAATCAGCCAAATTCAACAGGGATTCAGGACAAAACCCAACAAACTGATCTCATCTACAAATCTTATCCTTGTGAAATGCCAACAGTTCATCAGTGACTGGAATCCCAGTGTTCATATACCTGTGATATTGTCGTAACTCCTGAAATTCATTTCAATGTGATCCCACTCCAGCACCATGCAGTTCTCCATGCTGGGCTGTGCAATAGCTACAAACACATCATTCTTTGAGTTGAATGTATCCACTGAAACAGACTGGTAGGGCAAAATCTGGTGGACAACAAAATCTAGAAACATACATTTATAACAGTTAGGATACATCTTTGCTGGAAACAGAGTAAGTGGTCACAGATTAGAATGATGTACGCTGAAAAATGAGTGAAATACTCTGGATTTTGTATAACACTATCATGGAAATATCAGTGCTCATGTTAAGCATGCAGCAATAGGGAAAGTGTCTCCTGCTTCAGGTATCATGAACTGTCCTCTGGAAACGTATTTGTCAAGGAGATCAGATATGTAAATAGTGAAATAATTCAGATTTTTGCAGCTAGGCTGGCTACTATCAGTGAAATAGAGAGAGAAGTCTCTTTCCCCACAGCTGGAAGTTGCTTTCCCGTCAAGTGAAATGGCCTTGCTAGAATCACATTCAAGCTGAGAGACAGCAACTACCAGCTGAAGTCCAATAACTTCTTAAGTCATGCAAATTTAATCACTAGCAATTTGTGTTATGCTAAACCAGGCAGAAAGTGAAATGATATCTGAAGTTTGCCTGGGGATAACCCCATTTTGCCTAGACCACAGACAAAATGGTGTAATCAAAAACTCAGTTAACATAATGTTTTATGGGGCATTATAATGTAGTTTAGGCATAAAATACAACCAACCTGAAAATTACTATCCAGTGGAAAACTTGTCCTAGACAGTAAGACTGAGCAATTGGAGCAACCTGTAATGATTAGGAGTGTAACTCCAGAATTAAAGACTTCTTTTCTCAAAAAATTAAGTGCCTTTGTAGACTTAATTTGAAAATTTACCCTGGGGTATGTCAGCAGTCATGGGGCAAACTGAGGAGACTTGGGTCTGAATTTGACATTTGACCATACAGCTGTGCAAGATTTCTATTATCAGGAAAAAACATGATGTAGCAGAGCTGAGAAAGCACTCGGGTCTAAAATGTGGTAGGAGGCCTGCGATGAAGTAATGTATGGATACAGATATGTAGAAAAGGAAAGGCATCTTCCCTATGATGGCATTTCTGTGCAGAACCACACACTGCTCTGTTTCAAACCCCATTTGCTACACACCTTCACCAGGCACTCCTATGCTGGAAGGGCCTGAGCATCCAGAGATTTTGGTGAAATGGTAATTAAGTCCTCACTCGAGTCCCTTATTTTGGTGCATTATGAAATAATTGCTTCTGAATGAGGAACCCTCTGTTTCTGCATGCTTGAAAGCCTTGCCCTTGAGGAGTTACACTTGTGGAGAATAAAGATAGATGACTACCATTAAACAAACAGAGCAGATTCCACAGCTGTGAAAGAAGTGACAGTCTTCATTCTTCGAGGGACTATTATAAATAGAGCTTGGGTTTGGTTCATAGATGCTGGTAGGCAAACAAGAAAGTTATCTTCATTTTCACTGGGAAACTAAAAGGGCTGACACCAAAGTACGCAGAAAGTAAAAATAACTGACCAGTTATAAAAGGTAGCTAAATGATAGAGCAATAGCAGATACAGTTACAGAAAATAAAAATATTTTTAAATCTTGAGGAAAAAACCCAAAAAAACTAATCCTGAAAAGACATCTCTTGAAATCTGAACCATTGTGAAACACTTTGGGGGAATCTGTGAATTGAAACAAACCAGTCTGTATGTGAAAATGGGTAGGTAAATAATTTGTAATCAGTAAAAAGCAATAAATGTTGGTTTTAGCACCAGCTGGGAATACCAGACTGTAATGTAGAACAGGGTTACACAGTTAAAGTTGCTGCTATATCAGGGTTGCAAAAAATTTAGGCCTTGGGGGCTTGATTTAGTTCTACATCTTGCTGTATATTCTAGTTCTACATCTTGCTGTAATGCTAGAAAGAGCTAATACAGTAAATACAGGATTGGGGAAGAGCCTTTCCCAATATCTTTCTCTTTTAAGCCCGATCCCCTGGATGGGAGAGGGCAGAGGACACAGCTTTCCCCCTGTGCTGCTGGCTGCATGAGCTCTCCCTCTCTCCCTCCCAGCCCATATACACTTTTCTTTCCCTTTCTCAAGACACGTGGTTTTCACACTAGCTGAGCATGGGGTGTCCCCTTGTCCTCCAGTCACTTACTCCACTTCTGCTCCCTCTGTGGTTGAACTGGCATCATGATGTCACAGGTGAGGGATTCAACACTTTTACTGGGCTGGTTTTCCTTCTGGCAGCCCTTGCTTGGGCTGATCCCAGCACGCAGGAGCACTGATGCCAGCACAGGAGGGGACAAGAGTGCAGGGAAGATTGGAGGACACTAAGGAAAAATATAAGTGACAGTCTGTTTGGGCAACTGCTCCAAAACTGTATCCTGTAATTCAGTCCCACTCTCATCACATCCCTTCTTCTCTGCAGTGGATACTCCTACTCCAGGTGAGGCTACCCAGGGTCTGGGTGTGCCAGCAGGGAGTGTTGTCCATTCTTTCCTTTCTCCCACTACAGGAGATCTCCAGCACAGGGGCAAGAATGGAGCAGTACCTAGAAATTTGCAAACTACCTCCCTTCCAGACAGCAGGGAAAGAGAAGACCACCTCCAGGAGACAATCTCAGCTAGTTGAAGGAAGGGGAAAACAAGCTTCCAAAGCTCAGTGAGATGATCCCTGACTACAGATCTGGGCAAAGCAGGTCCCAGGCATGCACATGGCCTGTTTCCAGTGGCTGTGGGAATCTGAGGCCTTTTCCAGTCTCCTGAAAGTGAGTTACATGTTCCCCTGTGGTGCTCACAGCCACAGCACAGTCCCCTCACACACTATTGAGGAAGAAAGACAAGAAATGAAGTGAAATGGCTTAACCTGCTTTCATGATGCAAGCACTGAGAAATGGAAAAGACAGATGCTATCACAAAAAGAGTTAAAATGTAGGTCATCAATACTGTCAATCACTTTCTCTGTGAAAAAGCAACAGGATCATTTTGTTCTTCGCCTTTTTATTTCAAATTTGGCAGCACCTCTTTCCATCTCTCCTGTTACCATTGTAGCTGTTCAGCTGATGAAATGAGCTGACTGGGCCAACAAGACACACGTTTTACCAAGCAAACTGCTTTGTTACCACATCCTGCATCCAGTCATGCTCGACACAGAGTACTGGAGACCAGAAATGATGGAAAGTTTGATCCCACCTGGCAAAGGAGGGAAATACTATACTAAAGACTAACATGAATGCAAGAGGTTTGCAGAGCCCTGCACACCACCGACTGGGAAAGGAGAATACACCTATAGGGTATATTGCTCTACTTAGAATACAGAATGTATTCTAAGCCTGTGACTAATCAGTCCTCAAGGAAGGAATATGGACATATTTACACTCCCTTTGGATCTGGGGGAGGCAATGGTAGAGAAGGAGAACCTGACACCACAGACCACCAGGGTCATACGGAGCAAAGTATGAGAGCTACGTGCTGTGCTGTGGGAGCGCTTCTCTGAGGGTGTTTGAGCATCAGTTCAAATAGGATATTCAGCTGGGCAATCCTTGCCCCATGGAACACCTTGGGTCCCCAAAAACTCTGCAGCACATGAAATTAGATTCATGCTTGGTGTAATTTCACTTACAGCAGACAAAGGGACAATGTTAAGGGTGAATTTTGCTTGGAGCAACTTTGCAGTGTCTAGGTAAAAAAAAGTGATGGAGGGCTGATAGGTCAGGATAGGTTTGAGGACCTGAGGATGTTTGTTTCTCTTGTGCACTGTTAGTGCTACACAATTGCTTAAACCAGATTGCAACAAAATAAAGCCTGCTTTTACTTTGCATTGCTGTGCCCCGGTGATGTGGCAGACGAGGAATGTAACTTCAGTGCTGTTCTAAACTTCATTGCTCTCCTGTGCTTGACATCCTTTTATGCAGCAGATTATTGCACTTTACCACTGCTGCTCTTCTGCCATAGTTTTGAATCCTGAGTTCATTCTCTTTCTCTTCACATATAGCCATCAAAGCACCTCTCATACCTTCTCCTGAAATTTCATTTTGCATTGCTAGTAATCACCTTTTCTCTTGTCTTTTAATACTAATGACTGACTTGATGACAGATGAGAACTTGCACACCTTTGATATTACTGTCTAGAAAAAAGGCAGAGCGCTGACATCCTATTCAAAAAAGATGAAAAACAATACCCACAACTGATATTTTCAGTTATATGATGTGACTACATTTAAAGATAGGTAACTGCAGCAGTTTCGGCATAAAATATAAGCGTAACCACATGCAAATTACTCTTTGCTCCCTTCAGCATGCTTTACATTACCTTAAAAAATAAAAAATCAAAATCCTAGGCAAGACAGTAGTCAGAATATTATTGGACTTTTCTCTTCAACTTAATGGAGCTCCATGAAGAACTTCTGGCACTATTGCCACCATCTTTGATGCTAATAAATAATGATTTATCAAATAAAGATAACAGCTATAGCCACGTTTTAGAACTTCTTTTCATTGCTTTCTGTGAAATACAGAGATTTAGGAAGCTCATCTGCCATAACTATGTGGCTTCATTCCAGATAATAGAAAGTGTTTTGTGATGAAAATTCAGCTACAAATTGAGTCATAATCAAGTCTTTTGGAATATGAATAGGCAGAGCTCTTCTCCCATTATCACTTAATCCAAATAAAAATTCAGTGCTTACTTTAGCTTCTAAATGTAATTTTCCCATTTTGTACTTGTTCTAGTAGTTGGAAGTGCTTTGTATGTAACCCTTTCCTCCCCCCAGGTCATGCTCACAGAAGTGAAAGGGTATCATCTAAACTTCTGAAATTTAACCGTTTGTAGTGTGCTTAGAAATATACATTCTGAATACCTGTAGTGGTGCATTCATAATCAAAACTTGTCACATCATTTAACTTCTTATCCTGATATTCTGCTGGACCAATACACAGGACATCAGAAACAGTGGAATTTGTCATCTTTAACCACAAAAACAACCACTTGGCTTTGCAGTCACACTCAAATTTATTTCCCCTTAAATCTCTAAAAAAACACACAGAAATAAACATATTTGAAAAGATTGATAGCAATATGAGTACTTGGCATGCTGAATTTCAAAATATCTGAGTATCCTTAAATTGTTCTGAACTGAAAACAGGGGATTTTCTTCAGTTTTATTTGGAGTCCTTTATTATGAGCTCTCTTTCACTGATTTTTTTGAAAAACCTTTGCAGTCTATGTTCATACATAATCTGAGTAATGGAGCACTGTGATTCAAGTCACTTCTTTTATAAGTTTTCATAGGATGAGGACTGTAATGTAATACATCCTGACATTCAGGTTGTCTGCTGCAAGCCTCCTTTGCACCATTTACCACTGACACAGACAATTCTCATCCTTTCACTAAACTGTTCCAGTACTGCTGGTTGACAGAGCAGCCTTGCAGACATAAAATACAGATGTAAGACTTGTATTTTTTGAGTTGCTGCTGATGTAGAGTCAATTTAACTTCTTCCTGCTAATGTATGTGCAATTTCAGCACTGTACCTGTTCTTTGATCCTTTGGCAATTTCTGAGGCCTACAATTTTACTTTTCTGTTTGGAAGAACCAGGCCAAAAATAGGGGAATGCTAGCTACACAGTGAAATACTCTGTACAGAGTGTCAGCAATGTGCTACAACTGCACAGAAACAAGGAAAATAAGATTTATTTTTTTTTAACTAATCACTTGTACTAAAATAATCTCAAGGAATATGCAACAATAATAGGGAAATACGTTCAGAGAAACTGTAGTTTTAAAATTCATTGTCTCCCTTTCTCTAGAAAACAATTTAAATGAGACATCAGAAAGAAGTACAATAACACAAGCTATGTACAGCAAACAAAAGCTACATACAGCATCACGAGAAGCAACAGTGATTTAAGAAATAGCAGTTACTTTAGAAAAGTCTATCAAACAAACAATTATAAAATGAAAAAAAAGCTAGAACAAAAAAATGCATTTTTCTGTGTAGATACCAGATACAGCACCACACACCCAGAACCTAAAACTGAGAGCAAGAGTGACAGAAGCAGTAGAAGGATTCTCATTACTTACAGCTCAATTAAAGAATCTAAATCACTGAAGACATCCTTTGGCAGAGCTTTGAGATGGTTATTGGCCAAAGAACTAGAAAAGAAAGTTAGAGCTTATTATCATTGCTATCTCTTATCTTGCAATTCTTACCAAGTCTGAGCTCACTTACAGCTTGCTAATTATCTGGTACTGTCCAGCCACTGGCACTGTTAGAAGTTACCAGGAGCAGGCATTAATTATTCTCATTTAAGAATGGAGATTGCTTGAAGTTCACATAAAAGTAAAATATTTAAAATATTTAAAGCTGTTTTTTTTGCCCAGGTGTAAATGTAACCCAATCACTGAGCACACTGAAAAGAAACACTGTTAATCATGAGTAGGCAGTGTGGTGGTAGTGATGGTACCAGCACAGCACCGTGGTTACCAGTGGCATCTCAGACCCAGCTGTGCCTGCACACAGGCAGCCCAACGTGTGGCAGTGCTGCCCAGGCAAGAGTTGCTCTAAGGCTGGTTCTTAATTTATGGAAGGCATGTTGTTGACAGCAGGATGAAGCTGACACGGAGGGAAGAGAAGTTTTCTGTGTAGCAGAAAACACAGTGGTTTCCCAGGAGAGTTTTGTTCAAGTAGAAATTACCATATCAAGTGTTAAATAACTTACAGGTGAGTCAGGTCACGAAGGCCACGAAATGCATTTCTTGAAATGGTTTCAATTTTGTTTCCTTCAATAAATCTAGGCAAAAAAAAAAAAAAAAGCATTTTAAAATACTTTAAGTAACATTATTATTAGCATCACATTGCTTTAAGCTATAGTTGCCAGATGCAGCATATTTCTGGGCAGCTCCTTCATACTGAAAGGTGGGAAGTCTCAGTGGAGCTGCTCATGTTCCCTTTTCCCCTTTTCTTGGGCAGACTGCAAGGAACAATGCAAGTGCCTGGCAGCACAAGGGATGGCACATGACACAAATGTCTAGCAGAAATGGAACAAAGTGAACAAGGCAAAAAAAATTATTCCTCTCTTGGTAATCCTCCCAGGATGTGTTGTGCGAGGCAAGAGACCTGCGTAGGACAGCCACCTGAGGCAGACTTTAGAAGCTAAAGTCCTACCTTCCCCTCTCCCAAATCACCAGCATTTCCAAACCAGCAGGCAGCACAGCAGGGCCAGGGCTGCCCAGGCTGCAGATCTGCTCTGATGGGAGCTCCTGTGGCTGCACACACACACGGTGCCACCTCCATATCCACACAGCCCTGTCTATAGCTGTGCACGTTTGACAACTGCACCAACAGCAAGGCCACTGCCTTGGTTTAGTTCTGGCTGCCAAGTTCAGCTCTGCCCAGCTGGGACATCTCCTCTGCAGGGTGCTGGCTGCACACAAGTCACAGCCCTATGCACTGGGGGAATAATGACAGGCACATATCGATTCCAGGGCACACTGCTCCTCCTGACTGCATATCAGCATTTAAAGAAAGAGCTGATATTTGAGCAACTTGACCCCTGAGCACTTGAGGACGCATCCCTAAATACACCATCATCCCTGCAAAGTGATTGCAGCCAGGTGGCCATCAAGATATTGCCTGATAAAGCTATACCTGGATGAAGATGACTGTATGCTGACTTCTTTATAAAAGGCTTATGAGAGGGCCCTTATTCCTAGGCAGATCTGTTTGCCCTCCAGAGAAGTTAGAGGAAAAATGCTATGTGACAAGGTCTCTTCTACAAGAGAATGAAGATGGGAATGCAGGAGATGAAAAGTGCTCTTGGTTCTGCAGTGTAGGTGTAAGAAAAATCCTTCATGAAGTGACCAGGACCCTGACTGCAGCAAAGGGTGCAGATGAGATAGTGCTGTGTCAATGTGGGAGATGTCAGAGGCAGGTCAGCCCTTCTGGGGCTGTGTGGAGCCACAGGTTCAGTCCACAAGAGCAGAGGGCCACCCTGCCTCCTGACACCCTCACTGGCGGCTGGCATCCCTGCACAGCACCAGCTCAGCAGTCCATGCAAATAAACAAGGCTGCACTGCAACAAGCTGGAACTCCAGAATTTGCCAGATTCTTGAATCACCAATCCTGGCCTCCAGGAGATGCTATTCTGGGAATTCCGGTCTGTTTGCCGGCAAAGCTCCTGTCCTTATCAGACCTGTCTTACCCAGACTGTGTACAGAGTCAGTTTAAGGGTGCACTGAATGCCATTATGAGTGCTGCAAGTGCAGCAGGACACAGCTGGAGATATCTATATTAAGGTATCAGCCATGGGTGCTCCCCAGCTGCTCTTTGGCCAGAGATTTTGGCTTTGTACACACAAATACTTGTCATTCCTATTTGTCAGTCAGGTTTCCTTCTTCTCTACCAAGTATGATCCCTGGTAACTAAGAGACATGAGTTATGGAAGTTGTACTGGTTTTACTGGCTGCATGGCCAAAAAAACAAACCACAGAAAGGCCACTCACAGCCAGTTCCTGAAAGGTGGAGGGGTGACTTGCTGGGAAGAGGAAAAGCTCTATGGAATTGGCAGAAAAGGCAACCACAACCACTAACTGAGACCACTTGTTCAGCTGCTAAAAGAATTTGAAACTGTAAGGCTTTACCAGTCTTCACCCTGCTCCCTGGCTTGCAGCTGGTGGTCAGGGACAGAGATTTGCCCTTTGACCATCTGAGGAGAGCAGGGTGTTTGATTCAGACAGGGATCTGGTTGCAGTGACCAGTACAACCACCACGATGTACACTGTACTGCTGGGACAAGCCCATCAGCACTTGAAAGCAGGCCACTAATGGTACAACAGAAAATGTTTTTCTTCCTTTTTACAAACTATAGCAAATTATTTTTTCTCTGTAGACACAAGGAAAAGAGAATGTTTAGATAACTTGCTATCTCTGAAAAATCCAGATGTAGCTGAATCATGGATTTTAGCATATACCATTTACCACTAACTGCAAATTCCATTGTTGGCTACTCCACATGTACCAGACTATTAATGTATATTAATGTACCACACCATAATATCTATTTGCCTTCAAGATTTTAGCAAGAGTCAGTTTTATGAGCATCAGTCTTCCTGTAGAAAAGGACAAATGTTTTCCACAGCTACATTTCAGCTTGGAAAGGTGGGTGGAATGAGGATTTTTTTCAGGTTGTATTCATAGTTCCAAACACACCAGCTCATACTGAGTAACACAGAGAAATGCCATCCTTTGGAGTGTGAAGGGAGGACAACCTGTACCAGGGCTAATATTTTTTTTTAAAAGAAAAAAAGGTGAACTAAAAATAAAAAAAATAAGGACCAGAAAAACAAAAGGAATGTAAAAATCAACTAAGTGGATGATATAAACAAAAGGAGAGCTAAATAATTTTAAATAAGAATATAAATAATTACAAAAAATTTATTATATGAAATGTATGTTTATGTATTTATGTATTTATAATTAATTAAATAAAGATAAATTCTATGGACATTAAATAGGGTATCAGAAAAAAGGCAAAGTAGGAGACAAAAGTTGGGAGAAGAAAAGCAGAATCAGGGTTGTTCTGGACAGTATACCAGTAATCTGCAATTCCTGCTCAGGAATAGGTCAGGACAGGCTGCTCCACCTCTTGTGTGAGGTTCAAATCCCCTTAAGGGTGGCACCATTCTGGAAAGCCAAGGCAAGCTCTCGCTAAACATTGCCTTTCTGGTGTGTAATTGCACAGAGACACCTTGCATTCACAGCATCTTATAAAAATGCACTGTAACATCTGAAAAATCGTCAGCCACCATAAAGAATATTTGCACAGGAGTGGAACATAAATCCTTCAGCTCCCTGCTCTTGGGAATCACAGTAAAGACAAAGGAGCAGCTCCTCTGCAGCAGGAGTCCTGGCAACTTATCAAAACATCTTTATTTATAAAGGGCATAAAATACCAAACTTACAGGTATTCTAGATGGAAGAGACCAGCAAAGGCATCATCTCGTATAACAGTGAAGGAGTTGGAGTTCAGCAAGCTGAAAATGGAGAGCAGGCATTAGGAAAGCACATTAAAACTTGACACACTGGATTATGCCTGTTGTGTTTATTGCCCATGACCAAACTAATCTTACTGACTTGAGCCCATATCACCCCACCAATGCAGCACACATAAAATACTGTAGAATGGTCTATTGAAAGAAATTAAAGACATTACATGGTGGGAGTTAATGTCCACTACTCCCTGGGAAAAATGTGCCATTGACCTTGGCTAAATGTAACCTGGTCCTCAACTCTATGGTCCACCGAGCAGAACAAGCCATCATTAGATGGCAGGTCTGCTGAGTGTGGGCCCCATCCGCTCACCACCCCTCCAGCCCCACTGACAACTTTCAAGAGTCCGCCTCATCGCCAATCCTAAGCTGCCAAGCACCAGCTCTCATTAATGCAGTCGCAGTGGGCTCACTCCCTCCGTGCTGCCAGGGGAATGCTCCAAGCCTGACCTGCAGATGGGTACAGCCTGCAGTGTGGGAGGACAGCAGCCAGTTTGTCTGCTGGAAACACAGACACATCCAAACCACCGAGACAGAGAATCCTGTTATCTTTATAAAGCAAAGCGCTGTGTCCAGCAGTGACAGGCGCTGAGGAAGAGCTGCAGTGCTGCCTCCTCCAGGCGCTGCCTTGCCCTACTCCCATATGAACTTCAGGGACAAAACATGTTAGAGCTGCACCAGGGAGGCTGAGCCAGCCAGGCACCTGAGCCAGCACAAGACAGCCAGGGAGAAGGAGGTTATGGAGACTTTGCCAGAAAAGTTCATTCCTTGCTGTATTAAAGCACAGCAGCAGACAATCTCCAAATGTTGATGTTCAAAGGTGGAGAGGAAAATGTCCTTTCAAGAAAATAGCAAAACTTCTTATTTGGTCTATGATATTAACACTATTCAATTAATTTTTGGAAAATCTCAGAATTTTCCCCTATGAATGAATATGTCTGCACTAATTGCTTTATTAGAGCAACTGATTAATCTCCCCTTTGTAGGGTTTTAGGCATTTTACTAAAATTAATTTAGAAGACTAATGAACATGAAATGCAAACTTGCCCTGTGATCCCTGGATATTATGCTAATACTAGATGAATGATCCTTATATTATCCCAAAGAAATCTGACAAAGATGAAGACCACCATCAAAAATAAATCCTTACATTACTATTTTACCATGATTACTGCCACAGAAGACATTGTCCTGAGGTGCCCATGTGCTCAATTATGCATGCAGCTCTTAGTTATTTAATCATTATTTTCTCTCATGTTTTAAGGAAAAAGTTACAAATTACACTAAACAACAGAATTTGTGAGTGCTCAAGGTGGTGATGGTGACGGTGATAAACCCCTCTTGCTCCCACATCTGACTTACCACTTGAACAACTTCTGCCTTCCTCAACAACACACCTCTGTCCCTCAGCATACACAGCCCGACATCTCCAGAGAATCTACTACAGTGAAGGAAAACCATCTTCATCTGCTCTTCTTCCCTCTCCTAGCACTGTCATCCAAACCAAGCCAGATTCCCCCCAGCTCTAGTTTTCCACCCCCAGCTTCTCACCCCTGGATTCCTCCCTTTCCTTCCCAGCTGGCCAGGGTCACAGTTTGCAACCATTTACTGGTGGGCAAGGTCCCCGTGCCCTCTGCTGGGGCCTCGGTGCTGACCCCGAACTCCCACAGAAACTTGGTTTTGGGACCAGTTTCACACTAAAGGAGGGGAAGGCTTCCACCCCTTGCTTTGCTCACTTCCTCCAGCATTTTGCATGGAATTCTGCTCCTCCCAGTGGGAAGACAGGCCTTTGAGTCAAAGGAGGTGGGGTGCCCAAGGAGAGGAACCTCCCCATCAGCTACCAGACACCTTCAGAGGCTACCTCTTGCTAAGACCAGTTTTAACATCTAGTTCTGTGGTGAGCACTCAGCCTGGCTTTCTGGCAGGCTTTGGATCTTTTTGCTGAATTTTTCTTTGCAGTATATCTCTACCTGGGGAGGGGTCAGTCAGTCCTTATGGGGTGGAGTGTGTGGAGGGCCTGCCTGGTGTCAGGCATTCCAGACAGGCTGCACTGGGCTAGACAGGCTGCAGGCTGCTGCTCAGTTTTGCTGCAGACTACCAGAAAAGTGAGTATCCAGGCCCCCCAGGGGGTTGTACCGCAGTCTCTGTATCTTCCCTGCTGCCTCCCAGGACAGCTAAATTAAGCAAGTTTGGGTAAGCTCCTGGAGCAGGAGGCACACACCTAACTACAACAGGCACAACCAAGCAGCTTGCCTGGGGTCAGGGAGGAGGGATAGCTGCAAAGTGCTGGACCACTGTCTCCTGGGACAGAGGACCGCTGGCTCAGAAGGCATCGAAGGGGCCACCTTCCAAGTTGCACGCTGAAGCACGGAGTCATGCTGCAGACAACAGCAGTGCTTCACACACAGAGGATTCCCTCTGAAGTGTGTCCTGGCAGCCTCTGCTCACCCCATTGTGCCCACAGCATCACAAAGGCAGTGCCAGACTCCTGGGCACAAAGTGAGCAGGAGTGAGAGCCAGCACCACATTACTGGGAGACAAAACTCAGCCTTAAACTTGCTAAAGTTGAAGTTTTAAATAAAGAGGAACTTAGGGCATCATAAGATGTTTTTCCCTCCTTTAGTAACTAAATACACGTTTTATGAAGTGGCTTCTGAGCAGAAAATGCACCCCTGAGCAGAAATGTTATGAAACAGCAGCTACACTCGGGGACAGTGGAAGCTGTCTTCTCCCGTTTTCTCCGTTTCTACAAGGGAAAGGGAACTCTATCTAGGAGAAACTGAGAGGCTCTATGCTCAAAGGGATTCTATTCAGGAGGAAGGGGTGAAGTTCTACTTGGCCGTGCTCCTTCCCAGTGCCATACTTACAGCAGCTGCAGGGAGGGCAGGTGGGAAAACATCCTGTCCTTGACTTCGGAGAAGGTCCCGTTGACCAGGCTCCTGGAAAAAGAGATGCCACCCATCAGGCGGGACCGCCCCGCATCCCTTGGCCACCCTCCCGCCCGTTCCTTCGCGCGGAGCCCCGCACTCACAGGGAGCCCAGGCCGGCGGGCAGGCTGCGCGGCGCGCCCGCCGCCCCCACGCACAGCGCCGACTCCCGCCAGCAGCTGCAGGGCGGCCCGCAGCGCGGCCTGCGCGGGGCGGCGGGCGGCGGCAGCGCCAGCAGGGCGGCGGCGGCGCTCAGAGCGGCCAGGAGCCGCAGCGGGACCGCCATCCCGGCACCGCCGCTGCCCGCCCGCCGCTCCCCGCCGCCTCCCGAGCCCTGACATCAGCGCGGCGCCGCCTCCGCTGCGGCGCCGGGACGCGGAGGGGGGGTCCCGGCGGGCGGGGCGAGGCGAGGCGCGGCGGGGGCACCTCGCCCTCCGCCTCCCCGCGGGACAAAAGCCAAAAGCCCCGCGGGAGGCGCGGGGCGTGGGTGGCCCCCGCTGGTAGCCCCGGAATGATGCTACCCCAGAAAATCGGGGCGAGCGTAGAGGTGCTGGAGCGTGTCCAGGGAAGGGCAACGAAGCTGGTGAAGGCTTTGGAGCACAAGTCCTACGAGGAGAGGCTGCGGGAACTGGGGGTGTTTAGCCCGGAGAAAGGGAGGTTCGGGGTGGGGGGATTTATTGCCTTTCACAATTAACTGAAAAGAAAATTTCATTGGGATGGATGTAGTCTCTTATCCCAGGTAATATGGTACAGGACAAGAAGAAAAGCCCTCGAGCTGCGCCAGAGGAGGTTTAGATTGGATATTAGGCAAAGTTTCTTCACTGAAAGGGTTTTCAGGCATTGTAAGAGGCTGCCTGGGGAAGTGGTGGAACCACCATCCCTGGATGCGTTCAAAAAATCACAGACTCATGGAACAGTTTGGGTTGGAAGAGATCTTGAACATCTTCTAGTACCAAACCCCCTGCCATGGACAGCTTTCACTAGACTAGGCTTCCAGAGGGCTACCCAACCTGACTTTAGACACTTCCAGGGATGGGGCACCACAACTTCTCTGGACAACCTAATGTGTAGGTGTGCTGCTTAAGGATATGGTTTAGTGGTGCACCTGGCAGTAGTGGGTTGGTGATTTGGCTTGGTGATCTTGCAAGTCTTGTCTTACCATAATGATTCTATGCTTCCAGGACCTACTCGAGGAATGTCTAGATCATTAAATAAGCAAATGGATGATGACACCACACAATTCCAGTTGCTTTCCAGTGGTATGTGTGTGTTAAGTACACATTAATTGAATCATGTTGCATCTGAATACTTGAAAGGTTTCAGAACTCCACGTAAAACCAGATTTGTGGTTTTACCCCACATCTTGCGCATCAATAAAAAGATTTACCCTTGTAACTTTGTGTTACAAATTACTTGTCTTGTAACATCAAAAAATTACTTTTTGTAACTCTTGTAACCTTCACTATCCTATGTGTGCAAGCCTCTCTTCTTGGTTTGCATGGGCCAGTTGCAAAATTCCCGTGTCCATTTCCACAGCTGCAGCTTGTGCCTGCTGCCCGTCCCCATTGCCCACACAGGCTCCTGCTAGGTGGTGGAAGACAACAGTGAGACTCCTTTGTGCTGAGCAGACCCAGGTCTCCATCTCCACCCATACACAATCCCTGCAGCAGGCGAAAATTCAGAAAGCATGAGCAACACCTGAGCTAGCGGTTTAATTAATTTATCATCTGATTAGGCAGAAAAAAGACAGAGAAATTGTTTGAGGTCAGTGTTAGTCCCAGTTTTCTTTGCCTCGTTTAATCTTTTCAGTGATTTTAATGATTTGTGTAATACGTCTCTTTACAGGAGTTGTTATGCACCACATCTGCATCTTAATTCTACAGCCATAATAATCCAAGGATGTTTCTTTCATTGGCAAGTAGACAGAAATTGTTGTGAACCGTTAAAGCTGCTGGATTTCCTGTCATTCTCTTTCAGCTGGGTTGCTGGTGCTTTATCCTGATGTCATTGAAAGTGCCAGAAAAAAAGAATATTAAAAATTATAAGAACACTATCAGAAATCAAAAGTTTTTTTACTGTCTCTCACAGTATCCTTCTGGACAAAATATCCTGCATGCAGCTAGAAACGTCCATAATAGACTGGGTGACCAGCTGACGGGCTGGGCTTGAAGTATTACGGTAAATGGGGTTACATCAGACTGTCAGCCTGGCACCAGTGGGGCTCCATAAGGCTCCATTTTAGGGCCAGAGGTCTGTAAGGTTTTTATAAATTATCTGAACACAGGAAATGAATGTACATTAAGTTTGCCAATGTTACTAAACTAGGAGGAGCTGTGGACTCCCTCCAGGGTAAAAAGGCCCTGCAGGGAGATGTGGGTAAGACTAGAGGGCTGGGCAGCCACCAAACACATGAAACTTGACACAAACAAGTGGCAGATTCTTCACCTGGGACAGGTGATCCTGCTTCTACATAGAAATCAGAGGATGAGAGCCTGGAGAACAGGCACATGGAAAGAGATCTGAAGATCCTGGTCAGTGAAAAGTTGGACACGAGTCAGCAGTGCCCTGGCAGCCAGGAGGGCCAAGCGTGTCCTGGGGTGCACCAGGCCCAGCATGGCCAGCCGGGCAAGGGAGGGGATTGTCCTGCTCTGCCCTGAGCTGGGGCAGCCTCACCTCCAGGGCTGGGGGCACTTTTGGGCACCACAAGGTGAAAAAGATGTAAAGCTGTGTCCAGAGGAGGGCAACCAGGATGGTGAAAGATCTTGAGAGCAAGACTTAATGAGGAGTGGCTGTGGTTGCTGGGTTTGTTTGGCAGAAGAGAAGGCTGAGGGGTGACCTGAGTGGGGCCTACAACATCCTCAAAGTGTCAGCAAAGGGACAGATGCTGAACTCTCTCTGGTGATCAGTGACAGGACACATGGAAATGGAATGAAGTTGCATCAAGGGAAGTTCAGGTTGGCCATCAGGAAAAGGGTATTAACTGAGAGAGTAGTCAATCACTTCTCCCCAGGGAAGCTGTCATGCCTCCAAGCCTGACAGAGTTCAAGGAACATGGATCCAGATGGCACTTAGTTGTGTGGTTTTGCTTTAGGTAATCCTATGAGAAACAGGGAGTTGGACTTGGTGATCCTTATCTGCTCCTTCCAATGTGAGTTATTCTGTGAAAAAGACACAACAATAACTTCCCAAAACAGCAACAAAGAAATTATATTCCCATGAACCAGACAAGACATTTCTCCATGAAGTGTGACTGCTGTGGCTTTTCAGGGATGCCACTTTGGGAAGACTTTGATACATTCCTTTCCAAGTGGCACTCAGAATTCTGTCAGGAAATAAAGCTTCGGGGTTCAGTATTGCTGAAAGGCTTTAAATGTCTAAAAATGCCATATTGGTATGTAAAGCACCTTCCCTAAAAGACACAAAGCTAGGAGCCCAACTCCACAACTCAGTTCTTCAACTTTCACTCATGTTAAGCTCTTTCCTGCAGACATCTAAAAATCCCAGAACAATTCAAAATGGAAAACTATTTACCTGCTAGCACTGCCCACAATTAATTTTGCAGACAAGGTGTCTTCTGATTTAACTGATTTAAATGCATTTTATTTGGTGATCCTCTCTATCTCCCCATGGGAGAGGAGGAAGGATTTTCTCCTGCTGTTCCCATCTGTGGTGTTCTGTGCAGCCTCTTCTGCAGCATCCCTGCTGCAGCCCTTAGTGAGGGGCTGCCAGGCACAGACCACCCTTGCTGGTGGTCTTGAAAGTGTCAGGAGAGGTTCCTCATGAGCTGGAGGAGGATGAGGTGGAATGAGAGGAAGGTGCAGTAGGGCCAGGGTACTGCAAAGAAGGCACCAGTGTGAAGAGCGTGGGCTTTATCAGAGGCTGAGGAGAGAACCTGGAGCACCAGCAGGACACAACAGATGGTCCTGTCCTGCTGAAATTAAAAATGAGTGATTGTTTTGGAAAATTCACATTACAGGAAACAGGTATTTGAGGGGTTAAAAATACAAATATGAATATAGATAAGCACATATAAATTTCCTTAAAAGCATATTTAAAAATGGCTTGGTTTAAAAAGTGATATTTTTTTTATCTGTGCAGCAGTATAAAAATGCAGTGGTATAAAAATGAAATCATCTCTCTTTTTTGAGAAGAAAATAGAAAATTGAATTTGATGTTGAAGTAGAACGTCAAAGAACGAGAAATAATACTGAAATGTGCATTTTGCTGCTTTCCTTCAAATTCCAGCTCATAGGCTCAGGTGATTTTTTATGTGGACTTGCAGGAGCATCCATTTAAGTCATACCACAAATAAATGCAGCTGGCTGCATGTGAAAGATTGTGCTATTCAATAGCCATAGATAAAATGGAATTTCAGAGGGGCAAAGAAGAACTCAGACAGCATGTCAGCTGGCATAATATGAACACCTTAAGAGATAGGAGAGGTGCAAAGGCTGTGCCATTCCTTTAAAAGAGTCTCTGCAACCGAGGGTGCAGGGGAACATGGGGGTCCCCTGGGACTCAGCGTGTACCCCAGTGCAGACCTGTACAATGCTGCATGGGCTCCTCCCACTGCATGTTATGTGGAAAATACTCTGATTCCCAGGTGAGTATGGCTGAGACATCTCCACCCTGATGTATGACATAATCGCTGTCATTTCTCCTAACACAACAGCTCTTTTTCTTTTCCAAAATTTTGGATATTTATCTTGAATTGTAAAGGGAAAATAAATCAGAAGAGCATTTAGGAGAACATAAATATGAATATAAATATTTTGATGTGAAAGTTGTAAGCTTTGTTTCTTCAGGGTCAGGAAGGCATTTTTCACATGTTCTCATCTTCACTTTTCAATCCCTTTTTCGTAAACCCCTGCTTTATTGAGTAAGTATTAACATAGAGGCTTTGACTGTATTTTTTCCTGTAACTTGATGGAAGTGGACAGTTATAGATAGAAGGCTGCTGATCAGGTCACTCCATATAAAAAAAGAGCATGGAAGGGAGAAACACATCAACATTTTGTCTAAGAAAATTTAATTTCTAGGGTAGTTTGCAAATAAAAATGAGTTTTGTTGGATCACAACACACCACCACTCCAAGGTAAGAATTTTTTTAAAAATTGTGGATGAGAATGAAGTATATCAGCGGAAGTGTTCCCACTATGAGGACCCTTAATTGCTTGTGACCCTGCTGTGGGAGAAGGTATGGGAAAATTAATGCTCTGAGCAATATTTATCTTGCTGTGTGCTTTCCTTTCTTTCTTCACTCATGGTTGATGTGACCTTTTTGGA